AAAAAAGTATGCGGCAATTTTTCAAATGGGCGCACTTTCAGCAACGCAACCGCAGCAAAACCACGTGCACGAGATGATGTTCAAAAAACACAGGAGTTCTTTGTTCACCGAAATCTAAAAACTCGCAAAGATGACTCTCTCCGGAGAAAGGCAGTGCATAAAAAGTTAGCACTTTCTCCAACAATCATTCGCAACGCAGCCGCGCGCTCAAACGTGCAGCGTCTCCCGATAGCGACCAGTGCAAAGGCGTAGTAATCAGCCATTTTTCCGCATTAATTAATTATTCAAGACAAAATGCGAAACAATCGAGAAATTCGGCTTATCGATAATATAGCTATAGAAAAAAGGAGGCCATTGGCTATCTGGAAATGAAAATTGTTGCACTGACATATGATGCTTAGAGTCGCAGCGCAGCCGCACGCGAAGCAAGTTAGATACTAGTTTTAGAAAAAAACTTTATCTTTTGGAGATTGAAAGCAAGAACAAAAGCGTACTCATTTGTTCGAGAATCTTCACAAAATCAGCCACCATGTCCTCCTGTGTTCGCTTCTTGCGCTCGAGCCTTCGGTCCTCTTCAGAGTCTTCGATCGGAACAACGGTGACCTTAAAAACTAGCATTAGGTGAAACAATTAAAAAGCAATTAGGACAATTTCATAAAATAAGAGTTACATACCTTAGTCTTCTCATCGTCTTCATCGACAATTGAAAGTTTTCCGTGCTTCTGTAAATGTTCACGAAATGATCGTCGAATTTTCCAAAAATTACTATCATTACTACCGAAGTAGCTAAAGAAGACGTTCATAGCAGAGAGGTTGTTGCCCAGAAATTCAGTCAAAATGTAGATTGAAATGCAAATCAGAGTAGAGCAGTCTCAGATGACAGCTTGCTTAGTTATGCAATTTCTTCGATGAATGAAATGTGGAGTGATTTCTTCACGTTTGTTTACACTAGCACATAGGTCTAATGGCTCAGACTACTCAGAAGAATGTCAAACATCGATGAAAATGAAGGACTGCCCTACGAACAACAGCA